GGATATCGCCCATTTAAAACACAGTTGATAGAAATTCACGAAATACTTCACCATAGTTGTTGGCTGTAAAATCGGTAATATTGCACTCACTTAGTTGGTCTATTCCCTGAATGAAATCGTTATAATTACCTAATCGACTATTGAAGTCTCCACATAAATAGAAAAAAAATTCCTTTAAGTATTGAATAAATATCAAATAAAGTAAACACGTATAAGACGTTTTTAAACTAGAGACAGAGAAACTGAAATGGGTCGAATTTGGCGCGCAATGTTGTGAGAGTTACATCATAAACGGTGTGACGTCAACGTGGGTCATTTGCATAGCTAGGTCAGTAGTACCATTCATTGACAATGTGGCTGCAAAGTGATGTATTTACTAAAATGAGTGCAAATAATCGATATAATAAGATAAAATCGTTAGTGGATTAAATATTCAATTACAGACATCATGAATAATCTACAGAATTCGATATTTCACAAGAAACAACCATGGAACAAAAGAAAACGCGCGTGATGTTCCCCGTTGTAATGGGTAGCAACGTCCGGGTATATGGGTTAGCAACACCCAGGGGCTATGGGTTTTGTAACGACATGCGTTAACCAATCAAAATCCTAGAAATATACTTAGCCGGGGATAATAGCACTTTAACCCTCTTGCTGCCAAAGAGACATTTATGGCTTCTACACACAAAACTTGTTGATTGTGTAGAACGTCGAAGGTCCATGGTAACGTCACAATACAGAGGGCACTGACAAGCAAAGACGGAGCCAAAAGGAAGATTTTGGCGGGAATGAAGTAAACTGATTTAAATGCATTATTTGTATACTTAAAACGGATGTCAACAAATGATACAGGATCATAAGCTTGTTAGTACTATAATACCAACTTATTTAAACGTGTTTACTAATTACGTAGTTCGTCATTTTCATGCAAAATATCGCATACTTTCGAGAAATTTGTTAAAAGTTTTTTCATATATCCTTTAATCAGAATATCTTAATTAATAATCGCATTCCTAATAAATAATCACAGAAAAGGTAACTGTTATACTTGATTACGCGAAATATCAATATTCACAATACACGCTTTATTCAGTTGTTATTTAAGAGAACTGGAAAATATTTGTTGGGCTCAAATGACGCGATTGACTTCTTAAATATTTGTTGTAAAGGTACACAAATGTAACACGATATACTTGTAGCGATATGATATTTCAATACATTTTATACCTGTTTCATCATGGAAGAAATAATCTAAAAATATTTATTTTCATTCGAAATGGGGATGTTAAATTAGTAGGTGACCTAACGATTTCTCTTCCTATCAAACATGTCATCCTTTCCCAGTGGCAATCTCAATATTTAGCCATTCATCTCAGATCTTTTACTTTGTGGGACCTACTGAGCAACAGATTTATTGTTCATTAGATCCCAGTCGTCCTTAATATTGCATGAAATACCTGCCACTGAACGTTGAACAAACAACAATTTATCAATCAACGAATCATAAGAGATATTTCATGTATGCCAAAAAATATAATATTTTCAAGTCATGAATAATGACTGATTCAGGTTCAGGTTCACATGTAGACAATAGAAATTATTTTTAGAATTTCTTCCCTCGTTTTCCTGTTTTTCAAATTCATATTTCAAACATTTCTCTAAAATTTTGAACAATAAGTGGTCAACAAAATAATGATAAACATGATAAAGAAATAAACAATATGAATAAGGTTTATAAAAATTCTTTCCTCGCCTACCGAAACAAGGCTTGAAATGAAAAAAATTAATCTGACACATATCATACTTTACAGCACGAAGTAGTTCATAGAATCGGCTGTTCTGAGTTTTATTTATTTTTTATTTGTACTTGCATTTTTTTTAAATTTTTATTGGGGGCCGTTGATTTGTTTATATAATTATTTGAAAGATTCTTTCCGGTATTTTTCAATTATAACAAGGTTTACTAAGCTAATTAGATAACAAGGATAATATATTCTAGTATTTTAGAGGTGGTTAAGAATCAGTTATGCATTTCACTTGGCAAAGATAAAATAAACTGTTATCACAGAGATATGTCTCGCCTTTTTGTAATTTTGATAATGCAAATGTTGAAATTAAAATAGCAATACTTTAACATGTAAGTTATGCAAATATTCAAAGTCGATGAACCATGACTGAAGGTACATGGCTAAACAATCTCCATGGAATGAGATGTGCCAATGTTAATACAACTCTGCATACCAAATACCATTGACTTATTATAAGTCGTTCCCTTTAAACAAACCTAAACACAAACATTAACTTGTAAACTATGTAAAAGTTTCAAAGTCAATGAACCATGATCAGGGATGGGGCTATATAATCTCCATGGAAACGATACTTGCAAATGCCAATAAATTTGCATACCAAATATCATTGACTTAACATGAGCAGTTCATCTTAAACTGATCTAATCACAAACTTATACTTGTAAACTAAGCAAAAGTTTCAAAGTAAATAGACCATGACTGAGGGGGCGGGGCCAAATATTCTCCATGGAAATGAGATGTGCTAATGCTTATACAACTGAACAGCAATTAACATTGGCCTGCCACTAATGGTTCCCCTTGAACTGACCTAATCACAAACTAATACATGTTAACTTAGCAAAATTTTCAAAGCCTATAGACCATGACTAAGGGGGCGGAGCCAAATAATCTCCATGGAAATGAGATATGCCAATGCTTATACAACTGCATACCAAATATCATTGACCTACCACTAGTGGTTCCCCATAAATTGACCTAATCACAAACTAATACATGTAAACTATGAAAAGTTTCAAAGTCAATAGACCTTGACTGAGGGGGCAGGGCCAAATAATCTCCATGGTAATCAGATGTGCCAATGCTAATACAACTGCATACCAAATATCATTGACCTACCACAATTGTTCACCATGAACTAGACCTAATCACAAACTAATACATTGTTGACGCCGCCGTCGCCGCCGATGCCGGAAACAGCATACCTATGTCTCGATTTTTTGACTGCGTCAAGGCGAGACGACAAAAGCGCTTATAAAATTATTAGCAATATTGTCTTCATTTTTTAAAGATAAGAAATATAAAAAAAACTATATTTCAAGGTTAAAAGTTGTATTTTTAAATAATGTAATATTAAAAACATCGTTTATAACAATCTTAGTGCAAGGATTTTTATAAAATTACTTTTAATCGATTTTCCTAATTACGGCTAAATTGACGCGGGAAAAATTATGGACGGCGGGAAAGCACTGTTCTACAGAGAGGCACAAGTTTTGCAACGTCACAAATATGAAACGTCAAGATGCTTTTGGCGCGACAAAGCAAGAAATAAACTCGGCAGCAAGAGGGTTAAAGTCCTGCAATAATAGTAGGCTAGCACAAAGCAGTCAAATTATACATACACCCTTTGGTTTTCTTTTCTTTTCTTTTCTTTTATTTACTTATTCTTTCTCTACATATAAAACCTTAAACTAATTACATATTTAGTCCTATTTAGGCTTATATAAAATATTTGGCAACTAAATTCACATACATAATTTGGCATATCCACTCTTTACTTGGCTGCTGGTGTACCATGACAACGTTGCTGTCGCTCACTGCCGTTTGCTTGGCCTAGCTTTTCTCCTTTTCCAGCTTTTGGTGGCTCCTATTTCTATTTTCTATTATTTATTTTTTTTTCTTTACTTAAATTTTCATTTTCATTTTTATTTTCTTTTATCTGATTTAAGTTCTATTTATTTTTATCTTTTATTTTTTATTCATCAATTTATTTATTTATTTATTTTAATCTATCAAATTATTGTTCATTTTAATTTTAATTCATGTTATTTTTTATTCATTTTTACCTTTTTGTCACTCAAAATTATATCAATTACTTAAGGTGAACATAAATTATTTAAATGCCTAAAAAAGCGCAAGCCAGGGCCGACCGTGCAAGACCCTCATGGGTAGTCAAGGTCGTTAAAAACCACCCTCATCGATCCGAACGATATGAATCGTCTGAACGAAAGTAGAGACATTTCAAAAGACAAAATTGAAAAGAAATGTATTAAAAAAGTGAAAACAATTAATTTATTAAGTCAACAGAAAATATATTTATAGACATTTACAAGCAACTATTTAATGTTATTTTCGTAACGGGCGTTGTCCTGGATAGTTGGTTTATTGGAAATATAAACAAAGGTGATAAAATGGACTCAAAAAATTATAGACCAATTAAAAATGTGAGTTGCCTTTGGAAACTCGTTACTGTAATTTTAAGTGAGCAATTAACTGAAATTTAGGACGACTTTCTTATTTTGAATTAATTTTAATGTGGATTTCGTAAGGGGTATTCAACACTGACTAAAAATGTGTTTATATATTTTTTATTTTTTTTTTTGAAATTCTAAAAACCAAGAAGAGAAAAAATGTTTTGCGCATTTAGTGATTTTGAAAAGCTTTCGAAAAAGTTTGGCGGGATCGACTATGGTATAAGTGTCTATTGAATAATATGAATGGTAACATATATAATAAAATTGTAAAAATGTATAACGGTACAAATTTTTGCATTTCTTATAATGATTGTAATCAACATTAATTTTCCCCTTGTAGCAACGGTGTATGTCAAGGGAAACTTTTGTCCCCTCTTCTTTTTGCCTTATTTGTGAACGGCCTTGAGTCATATCTATAAAACTGCAACAACATTCACCAACTAGTACGCCGTGCCGCTGTCCTTTCACATGTACCTTCTGCTGAGGTCGAAGATGTGTGGTTTAATGCCCTAATCGACATGGAATCAGATTGATACTAACATCAACTACAAGTCCTTTACAGACTATGTAACAACATACTCGGTCGAACAGAACAGTCACCTTTGGGACCATTACACAGTACAGGGACCGAGGACTACACATCTAGAGGGATGGCACACCAAGCTGAAGAAACATGTCCGGGACCCACATCCAAACATCATTAAACTCATGTATAAATCTAATGAAACATGAGGAAGCTTTCAACGCCCTGACCATGATCAAAATGCAGCCGGTGGGAAGAGAGTGGCCCAAAAACTCTGGGAAGCATTTCGGAATGGGTCCGGGCCTGGTTCCTTAAATAATTTAAGATGAGGGGGGAATGTTTGGCATCACGATCCAAAAAATAGGTATGGCGCCCATCGAAAATATACGGCTTTACGGGAGAGTCTTCCTTGATCATTGCAGATAATATGGACTCTGGACAGGACTGAAAAACTGTGGCTGAGGTCTCAAATCTGGTTCCACCAACATTTATAAAAAAACGGGTTTGCTGGCTCTTTTGTATTTGTTCCAACTTTAATTTCTTTACTGGGGTAGGAGTGTAAATGGCAGCAGCCTTTCTCAATTCAGATGGGGAGAGGAGTTCCTGAGTAGGCGAATAGGTTGGACAAGGCTGTGTAGCTAACGGGATACATAAACTAGTGGAGGTGAGGGGTGGTTCCAATGATGGTAGTTCCACAACAGAGACATCAATATTAGGGATGGCTGTATCAATATCGGGGACGGTTATAACAGGGATGTCTGTATATGGCATATCAGGATTGGGGCTGGTCTTGCAGGGATCACTTGGCAGAGGAGAAATAGGTTCCACTGCCGAAGTGAAACCCACAATATTATCCAAAAAAGCATCCTCCTCCGGATCACATAGTGAAACTTCCTCAAGACTTCCCACTGAGGAATTCTCCATCTCCTTCCATAAATTAGAAAGTACCTCTTTCTGCTTTTGCACCGACTCCTTCCTGTTCTCCTTTATCTTCTCATCCTCTTTCTTACTTGCCCTCTCCTCCTTCTTCTTCTCCTTTTCTTCTTTCTTCTTCTCCGTCTCATCCTCTTTTCCTTTCTTACTCTCCTTCTCCACTTCTTTTTCTTCCTTCCTTCTCTTTTTTTCTTCCCTCTTCTCCTTTCTCTCCCTTTCTTCCTCTGGTGTTCTCTTCTTCTCCTGCACCTTCTTAACTTCCTTCTTCTTTTTCTCCCCTCCATCCCCAAATACCATATTAATCTCCACATACAAGTTCCCAAGTTCTGTCCTCTACTTCTTTGTCCCTTGGTCCTGTTCCTTCCTGTGAGACCTCTTTTTGCTATCTTTCTGCAGCTCCTTTTTTTCTTCCTTGTCCACCCTCTCCGTTATCATCTTTTCCTCTCTCTGTCTTTGGAACAGAAGGAACTGATCCTCCTCCTCTTTTGTACAAGTCATTGTGGTCCTGTTTATTAACTTCAACATTCCCTCACACTTCTTGTGGGCAGCTCTACGGCTTACCACCAACCTACACTCCTCACACCTCCAACCAAACCCACTATGTTGTTCCGTCATATGCCTTTTGCATATTATTGACTGGTCAAAAGTGAAATCATGGCAAATTCCACAGGTATATACTGTGACCTGCAATTATAAAAAGGAACATTTCCTTTAAAATCTCGCTATTTGATTTTATATATTTCTATAAAATAACCAAAAACTGTACTATACTGGATAGATATATGGAATTTTAGGGTTTCACTTCCCCTCCTATCCATCATATCTATTTTAACCAACTTGAAACATTTTCCCCAAGATAGGGCTTCAACCTGTCTTGGTGCACTACTTTAGGTTTGGTCTTTGGACCTTTCTGTATACGATATATCACATCATTAAGTTTATTTACCACAATATATGGACCTTCCCAATTATTTTGTAATTTTGGACACAACCCCTTTACACGACGAGGATTGTGCAACCACACTGGATCTCCTGCATCAAATTTCTGCATTTTTGTTGAAATGTCATAATTTCTTTTCATCCTGTCGCTTGACAGTTTTAATTTATTTCGTGCAAATTGATGAATTACCTCTAACTTTTGAGATAATTCATATGCATAAACAGTTTTTAAATGTAAAGGTGACTTTTCAGTCTCTGGTCCACCCAGAATTAAATCTACTGGTAAATTAACTTCTCTTCCAAATAACATGGAACATGGAGATGTACCCAAACTCTCATGTTCTGATGACCTATAGGCCAACATTAATAAATAAATATATTCGTCCCAATCTCTTTGGTGTTTGCTTACAAAGGCAGATAACATAGTTTCAATAGTTGAATTCGACTTTTCAACCATACCATCCGATTTTGGCCTGACTGGTGTTGTACGGGTTTTATGAATACCCAAAATATTACACATCTCTTTAAACACATGAGACTCAAAATTAGACCCTTGGTCTGAGTTAATAGAAAGAGGAACCCCAAAAATGGTTACTTTTCTTTCTACAAATTTCTTAGCAACTGTAACTGCTTCAGTGTCTGGAATTGGTATGGCTTCCGTCCATTTGGAATAATAATCCTGAACTACCATTAGATAGCGATTATTATTCACACTACATGGTAAAGGTCCTAGAATGTCAATGGCCATTCTTTCCCAAGGAGCACCCACAAGATACTGTTTCATTGGGGCCTTAGGTTTTTTACAAGGTGCTTTCTTAGCACAAATATCACATTTAGTACACCAAAATTTAACATCCTGTCTCATTTTATACCAAAAATATCTCTGTTTAATTTTTGACAGAGTTTTTCTTACACCAAGATGACCACCGGTCACTGTGTTATGAACTTGGTTCAACACGAACCTTTTAAAATTAGCTGGAAGAACAATATGTAGATCATAATGTTTTCCATTATAGCTTTCCCATTTTCTATATAAAATTCCATTGACAAGAATTAAAGAATTTAATCTTGACCAATAAAATTTAACTCCAGGACTCATATGGGATACATCTGCCCATGTGGGTTTAACTTCATCTATTTTCCACTGAATAATTATACTGATTACATCATCAGATAACTGAGATTCTGAAACATTTTCAAAATTTATTTCTTTAACTGGGTTGTCCTTCTCATTTTGACTACAACAATAATCCTTAGATCTGGTACAAACTCTCACTATTTTAGAATGAACAGGGAGTACATCAGGGTTTTTCTCTGGACCCTTACTATTAAATTTATTATGAATGACATGACTTTTTACTTTGTGGCACTTTTCGTCACTTGTCATATTTGGTCTCCTATCTTCATTTATACAGCTAATACTAGGTTTTGTAACTGACAACTCTGCACTGACATCTTGAACATTTCTGCAAGATTCACTAACAGTGACACTATCATTACAATTTTCAACTGTAAAACTGTCTTTATGAGTTGGAACCAATTCATAATTTATTTCTACTCTAGCACAGTGAGGACATTCTTTATTATAGCAAGGACGTCGACTTAGGGCGTTTGCATTATTATGGGACCTTCCAGCTCTGTGCTCAATCTTAAAATCATAGGATGCCAGGACCTCGAACCAACGAGCTAACTGACCTTCTGGATTCTTAAAATTAAACAACCAACTTAATGCACCATGGTCACTTCTAACCTTGAAGTATTTACCATATAAATAATGGTGAAAATGTTTAATAGAGGCTACTACAGCTAGTAGCTCTCTTCTGGTAACACAATATTTTCTCTCTGATCTACTGAAAGTTTTACTAAAGTAACAAATTACTTTTTCTACTCCATCTTGGAGTTGGGATAGCACTGCTCCCATACCAACATTACTTGCGTCAGTGTCTAATATAAATAAATCCTCCCTTGTGGGGTAGGCTAAAATAGGTGCACTAATTAAGGTATTCTTTAATTCCTCAAAGGATTGTTGACAATCGTCTGTCCAGACAAATTTCTGGTTTTTCTCAGTAACCTTATATAAAGGTTTAGCTTTATCAGCATATATATTTTAAAATAAATTTTCTATAATAGGATGTTAATCCTAGAAAACTTCTTACATCTTTTATACTCTTGGGCACTGGCCAGTCCTTAACTGACTGAATTTTATTTGGGTCAGTAGCTACTCCACTTTCGCTAACAATGTGACCTAAAAATTTAACTTCTGTCTTTAAAAAGTTACACTTCTTGGGATTCAGCTTTAAATTAGCTGCTTTTAATCTTTGAAAAACTTCTTTCAAGTTTTTCATATGCTCCTCAAATGATTTTGAGAAAATAATAATATCATCTAGATAAACTAGACAAATTTTCCAGGTCAACCCTGATAAAACTGCTTCCCTTAATCTTTCAAAAACAGGGGCACTATTACATAGACCCATGGGCATTCTTTTGAACTGCCAGAGACCACCTCCTGGAAATGAAAAGGCTGTTTTTGGTCTATCTTCTTTGGCTACGGGAATCTGATAATATCCTGACTTCAAATCGACGGTTGAGAAGAACTTGGAGCATGACAATGAATCTATTGTGTCATCTATACGAGGTAACGGGTAGGATGGACGTAAAACCAGTAAATTTACGGAGCGAAAATCAATACAGAACCTCCAACTGTCATCTGACTTCTTTACGAGAACAATATTGGAGTTCCAGGGACTTGTAGAGGGTTCTATAATATCTTGCTGAACCATTTTCTGAATTTCAGCTTCAGCATCTTTCATTCTAGCTAGAGGTATTCGTCTGGGTCGCTGACGTACTGGAGGGTGATTTCCAGTATTTATGGTATGTTCAACTAAATCAGTTAAACCAATGTCCTCAGAGGACTTTGAGAATATATTACTATACTCCATTAAAAGGTCTTTAAATTTTTCATTTTGATCTTAATCAAGATTAATTTGACTAGACTCAAATACTTCATGTAAATAATCAGGTAATTGTCTCCCCTTATTTATTGTAGCTTGGCCACCAGCCACATTATTAACAAACTCAGAAGTTTGAATATCTTCTTCATTTACTTTATTGCAGGTAGCAATAATTGTACCCTTATATAAAGTGCAGGGCTCATTATTTATATTTATTATTCTCAAAGGAATATTATACATCTCTGGATGTACAATTGATCTTGCCACCAATAAACCATTTTTTTCCATAAATTTCTCATTAGGTTTTATTAAACCAGCTAAACCTCTAAAAATAGGTTCATTGGACTCCCCAGAAACAATCATTTCTGAATTAGGAGGCACATTTACTGTCTCTTGTATAGCAACTCGATAACAAGATTTAGCACTACTTGCATAATGAAAACATTGAATTATCTCCCCTTTAATTTTCAACTTATTTTGACTTAATAAGACATCACAGTCATGAGTCACAAGAAAATCCATCCCAATGATTCCTTCATTGGAAATATCAGCCACTAAAACATTGTGGTGATAAATATGATCTCCAAGGCAAATTTCAACATCAACATGTCCTATAAATGGTGCACTATCACCAGTAGCAGTAATTAAATTAATATTCACAGGATTAATCTTAGGAAGTAATGAGGGATTGATTTCATTAATAAATTTCTTACTCAAAATAGTAACATTTGCTCCTGTATCAACAAGAAAAGCTAATTTTTTATCATTAATTTTAGCTCTTACAAATAGTCCCTCATTATTTGCCAAAGATTCATTGATCTTTATCGATTTGGGCCATTCTGACTTGGCCTGGCTCCGACCCCTGAGTCTGACCTCAACTGCATGGTTTCCCTGTTGATAGTAATAAGGTTGATTCTGGCTATTTTGACCAAAATTATTATTTCTTTGATTAAAATTTCTGTTTCCTTGTCCCAAAATTCTTATTCTGGTTATTATATCCTCTCTGGCTATTTTGATAATTCCTCTGTTGATTACCTCCCCCTTGGCTATTCCTATTCTGGTTTTGGGACATACCCTTAATATCTCTAGTTAAAGATACCAGTTCCTTCTTAAAATCAGACAACTCGTGCCTTAATGATTTAAAATCCTCCCCCTTGTCATTGTTCAACTCTGTATTAATTGTATTATTCTCATTATGAACTGTATCTGCCTGTCTAACCATGCGCCCGTTTTGTCTCTCCGCTAACTTTAAGGTCTCTAATCTTACAGCTAGTGTTTCTGCTTCATGTATAGATTTAGGGTTAGATTCCCTAAGTCTTAGTCTCATATCAGCATCTGGTAAAGCATCAATGAAATGTTCTAGTGCTAATACACTAGTTATTGTGGATGGGGCACCTGGATAAGCTTGCCTAGTCAATTTCTTAATTGACTGAGCTAACTGTGGTAAACTTTCTTCTTTCCCTCTCATACGGGTCTGAAGTTTTGCTCTAAATAATTCTGATTTTTCAGCTGAACCATATCTAGTGTCCAAAAACTTTAACCAAACTATCATAATCTTTCCTAGACTCTTTATCTAGTTCATTTAAGAGGGCTCTTGCTCCCCCTTTAAAACTACCAGCCAAATATAATGATTTGGTTGCATAATTCCAACCATTTATTTCAGCTAAAATTTCAAATTGAGCTAAATATTCATTTAAATCTTCATCTCCCTCATACAACTGTGGCTTCATTGTTACATTACTAGACTTGGGTGAATAGGTATGAGAATTGGTCAATCTTGGAACTAGAGGTCTATCCAGTACAGCATAGTTTTGATTAACATTACGCATTTTGTCTTTATTAAATAAATAAATATTATCTGTGTTTTGTTGTTGTTTTGTTGTATTTTGATTTGTCTTAATATTTGCCCCAGGAACTGCTTGCCCAACACCTGATATCACTTCAGATATGTTTTCAGTGTTTACCATGTCATTCATGTGATTACTGTGATTTACTAAATCTTTATTTTGTTCCATCATTTTATAAATGGTAGAAATATTTTTCTTGTTTTCATGTACATCATCTTCAATTTGGCTTATACGACCTTTAATAGAAGAAATTTCATCTCCAAAATCTCTTTTTATCTGATTTACAGCACAGATAACTTCTTTTTGACAATTAGAGAAATCATGAGTTATCTCCCCCAATTGGTCATAGAATATAAACTTTTAAGGTTTTTTAATTCATTAACAAATAAATATTGTTCTTTGTCATGGCTTATTGTCTGCTCATGCTCAACACTATCAACCTTCTGTTCATCTAAAGGAATGGTTATTTCCCCATCATTTTCCTCTTGGAAAGAATGATTAATAGCTATAATTACTTCTCCAGAATCATCCATAATGTACTAAAATTTTAATATTTCTAATTCAATTTAGATTTTTATAAAAATTTAGTGAAACAGTTTAACATCAGTCAAATATACTAAAGCTTTTTCAATATAATTTTTAATAATCATTTCAAAAACCAATTTCAAAGTTAAATAGAATCCCATTTCTGACACCAGTGTAACGATTTCGCCCCTTAAACCGAGTGGTAGGTTAAATTGAATAAGGAGGCTCGATCGAACATAATTTGCATGGATCCTTTGAGTTGGTATAAGGTTGAAATAATAACTAAGTCAGGTATAACTTTCAGATGTACTTTATGTAGCATCTATATAATCAAATATTTACAATTGATCACAAACTATACATTTATATCTATATACAACATGCCGTAATCATTTATAATTTATAGGTCAGGAAGGTTGACTTGAAATTCCAATAAGGTTGACTGTTTCCGTAGGTTGATTTGGAAGAAGGTTGAACT